AAATAAAGGATTGTAAACTGACAAGGTCCTTGCAATCTGTGAGGTTAACCAAGGGTTGCCTCGCCTAAAAAAAAAAAAAAAATAGAAAAAAAAGAAAAGATTAAATAATTTGCCCATGGTCATACAACTTGTTATTTGACATTTGAACTCCAGAGCTCAGGTTCTTAACCTCTCTCATTCTACTGCCTCTACACCCTAATGAAACCTGATTTGCTAGCATCCATCTGTCACACCTGAGATCCCGCCATAGATGATGATTGCAGTGACCTCTTCTGGTCATTGAGGCATTGTTTTTCCCTGGGATGTTTCCAAGGTGTTCGACTTAGTTTTATGTAAAATATTAATATTTTACAATTAAATATATGTTAATTTTTAAGTGAAAATATTATTGGTTTTAAGATTATTGATTTATCCGTCTTTACTATTTGTCCACTATAATTAGCCCAGTTCATTAATAATGTTGTGAACATTTGTTAAGTACTTTCTATATGTCAGGAAGACCTAATAGCAACAACAATAATAAATGCTTAGATAGCACTTTACTGCTTGTACTTTCATTCTACAGAATAACTTATACTGGCATACCCATTTTATAGAGGTAAAGCCTAAAATTCAGAGATGGCAAATGGAGGAATCATAGTGTTGATAATGCATGTTTAACTGACATGATCTGAACCCAGGTTTTTTGACTCCAAGTCCCATATAGTCTCTTTCTTCCTGGGAAAGAGGAAAGAGGAAGCAAAAAAGTCCTTGAAGGATTAGTGATCAAATGTGAGTGAACCAAACAGCAATTGCTGACTGTGACTAATAAGTTTTACTCCAAATAATCTGTAGCGATGCTTTGTTCATCTGCCCTCTTTTCCCACTATCGACCCAAACATAGTCCCTTAAAGCACTAGAGACCTTTTCTAAGTAGTTACATTTCTGAATATAGCCCAAATATTTAAATAGCCTATCTTTTTTGTTTTTTTATGATGGAAGCAGAAATGCATATTTGAACTGAAGTAGTAGAAGTGCTTCTCGATATCTCCATTTGCGCCCCAGGTCCAATTTAGGTTAACCACATTTCCCTTCCCAGCCAGAAAAATTCTGGCCACCTCCCTGCCCCCGCCCCGAGTGTACTAGCCATTGGAATGGCTATTCGGAATTTGTTTTTTCTAACTTGGCTCAGGAATCACTTCAGAGGCAAAGAGAGACTGCCCCACATGAAGTGCCTTCAAGGTTTTCATGTTCTGGCACAACTGGAAAGCCACCACAAGTGGAGGTCATGTGGGAAGTGAGTTGCACAGCCTCCCTAGCCTTGGGCCAATTCAGTACACAAAAGAATTGCTTTGTAATTTAAAATAAACTGCAAACCATTTCATCTCTCTAGGGATAAGAGGATACAACAGCAGTCTCTTTTCTATATGGCAACTTAATGCAGCGATGGGGTAGTTCAAAAAAGGTTTCTGTGGAGTAGTGTCTGTGTAATGAGGGTAAGTGCATTAAAGCAAATCGAGGGGAATTGGAACTGAATACTTTTGAAATCACCTTTTCCAGAAGAATTTGTGGAATAACTACGTAATCTCTGCTTAAAACTATGAAAGTTTATGTGACATGTTAGTAATACTTAACGAATTGTAGGTAGATTGTGATCATGTAAACTTTCAAAGTAATTTAGGAAATTTATTCTTTGTTCTATATTTTGAAAAATAACATTTTTATTTTTACATTTTGTAGTTTGTGAACCATTTCTTCCTTATAATAAAAATTAATCACTGTGCTTTCTTTAATGTTTATAATATCTCCCCTCCCTCTGCTGTTCTTTTTGTTAACTAATTGAAAAAGAAGCATATTAAATAGAAAAATTATATTTTAAATGGTCATTTACCAGTATAAGAATTCCCCAGTCAAGCTCTGCCTTGTACTTTGTACTCATGTTACTCACTATACACATTAAATATTTAACATTTTAGCAAAAAATGTTGAATCCACAGACTTTTATATTTAAAATCATTTTTTAGTTCAAGGCTCTAATCTCCATCTACAAATAGTGATTCTCAAATTTATATCTCTGACTCAGATCTTCGATTTCCAGCCTCTTATTTGACATCCCTACTTTTATGTCTTGAATATTTTCAAGCTCAGCAATTTTAAAGCCCATTTCATGATCACTCTGCACTGGTCTTCTTAAATAAATAATCTGTTCAATATAATTATCTTATTATTATAACTTATTTTCTAATTATAAAAGTAATACATGTTAAATAAAAATTAAAAGCATAGAAAAATGTCAAGAGGAAAATAAAAATTATTTCATATAAACCATCCCCAGAAATGAATCATGATTATATTTTAGTGTATTTCCTTCTAAATTTCATTCTGCATTTCTTTCATTTTTGAGTTATTTTTATATATTATTATTTATATAATTTTTTGCCCTTCTTTACTCCTCAGGATAATCATTTTGAGCTTCCAAAATATAATTATAATTTACTGAATCATTCCACAATTTTTGGACACTTACCTTGTTTACTTTTTTTTTTACTAATTTAAACAATATTGTGATGACCATCTTATGTATAAAAAATTCTGAAAGTAAGAGTCTCAAATCAAAAAATAAGAATATTTTTAATATTCTTCTATGCTGACAAGGCTTTTACTATCCTTAGAAAAGACTGCTTGTCAGGTTGGCCCTTGGCTGGCATTTGAGAACTTGGATTTTAGGAGTGTTTCCACCATTCTCTAACTGATAAGAGCAGCTCACTGTACCTAAACTGTTTCTTCAAACAATGTGGTTTATGCTGAACACTTGTTTTCTTTTGGGAGTCTAGAATTTTGGTACATGCTAGGCAGAGGATGCCTATGTGACCAACCCCAGCAAAAGCTCTGAGCACCAAGCTCCAGTGAATTACCCTGGAAGACCATATTTCATATGCATTATCACATACTTTAATTCACACGTGTGAATTCTTGGAAGAATTAAGCACATTCTATGTGACTCTGTTGCAGAAAAATCAGACCCGCGAGAAACCAAGCACCACTCGGAGAGTTAGAGAACTCGGGTTTATTATGCCAGCGGTCCCAGAAGAGCTAGCGCTCTGAAGATCTGGGCCCTGAGCTCAGGGGTAACCTTACTTTTATAGGGCTTAACAAGCAAAAGCAATACATCTGTTATGTAGACAGAACAAGCAAAAGAGAGGGTGAGTCTTCAGTTGATCTCGAGGTCACCCTGCCCTTCGGCCTATGTGACAAGCATGTCTGCAGAAGCTGAACAAAGAGCTGATTACAAGGTTAGCCATTTGAGTAGAAAATTCCTCTTCAGTTCCACTAGTAGAGGAAAGACTCTTGGAAACTTGTACCAGGTTTCCTCCAGACTTCCTCTCATATACCTTTTCCTTTGCTGGTTTTGCTTTGTCTCCTTTTGCTGTAATAAACCAGAGATGCGAGTCCAACCATCTGCTGAGTCCTGTTGAGTAATCCTAACAAATCATCAAACCTGGGAGTGGTCTTCGGGACTCCAACATCCTCTTTTTCTGATTCTTTTTATTTATTTCCCTCCTGTTTCCCCCTTGTGAATCTAATCAAGGTCCTCTGCAAGGAAAGTGTCTTCAACTCATGTTTCGTTGAAATGGGAAACAGCACACCTTTTCCCTATCCTCAGAGGTTCTGCTCAAGTTAGAA